GATATTGACATTGTTAAGTGAGTGCGTCGCAACCTTGCCACGCAAATGGCAATTTCATTAAAAATCCTATCTTAGTTCTCTCTAGCACTTAAACAAAGATCTGACGACATTCCACTACGGGTCATGTCACTACGGTCGGGTCATGAAAGACCTATCATCCGACCTATCGGGAAAGTGACTGTAGGAATGTGTTTTCTAACCATGCAACCTCGTAGAGGTTAACATGGGGTGCGAGCGAACATTCCGAGCGATAGTATGATTCCGTCAAAAGCATCGTCTATCTCTCGCTTCAGTGGGATAAACATTTGAACGGAAGAGACGTTGCGTAGTCCGTGGGGGGTACTGCCATACAATATCGACCATCTTTTGTTCAATTTTCATATATGGGATCGAGAACTTTTTTTCTTTTTTTTGGACATTTTTTATTCCTTTCGAAGAGTTGTACATCAGGTTCAGAGGTTACACAGTAGGTTTAGTCAATTGTAGTGAAAATACGTTACATAGATGTACATTTCTTGTGATAAATAAAGCATGCATAATTGAAACACACCCACGCACACGCACACGCACACACACACACACACACACACACACACACACACACATGATATGCCTCAAGAAGAGCATGAAAAGTTGTATCGATAGTCAGATATACTAAAACAATTATGGTAGTATTGCTATTTGAGGCATAACTGATCTATAGCCTTATTGTACAGGGCATGATTATTATATTAAATTGTGTAGGATTTTTCCCCATTTTCGTTCAAATTGTCATAGACCATTGTTTTTGGTGGCAATGAATTTTTCAATCATCGCTGTCTCTTTTAGTATTTTCCTAAAATTATCAAAAATTGGTTTCTCACCCTAATACTTGATATATATATATATATATATATATATATCTTTTACTGGATTTTATAATATGATTAAGTAAAAGTTTATTTTTGTCGAATCCAAAAATAACTGAGTATTTGGTAAGTGAGATCCTAGTATTTGTGTCAAGGTTTAGAAAGGTTTCCAGTTTGCTCCAAAAGTGTTTAACATATTCACATTCCCAATATACATGTATAAGGTTTTCGCCATTTAAGTCACAAAAGGAGCAAATATCATTATCAACTAGTTTCATTCTTAATAATTCCTTTTTGGTGTAAATTATTCTGTGGATAAACTTAAACTGAAAGTCAATCCATTTAGTATCTTTAGTACATTTTCTGAAATTTGAATAAACTTCTTTCCATTGAATATCATTATCAAAAAGAGATTGCCATTTTCCATTTACTAAGGGTGGTTTTGTTTTTGTAATTAGTCTATCATAAAAGTACCTAGATCCTTGAACGGGTATAAATATATCCCTCAATTGTGGACTAAGATTTAAGTCATATATTGGTATTTTGATATAATGATTGACAGTGTCTCTCCATTCTTTAGGTATACTAAGTTTAACCTTATTACAATCTAATATTGTACCCTGTATATCATAACGTACTTGTCACTATACCCTTTTTAAACCAATTTTTAATTATGTAGTTTTCATGTTTAAATTGGTGATTTAGCCATAGGGGCTGTGATAGAATTTCGGAGATCCTTTCTGAATTTGTTGTAAATTTTCTGCCGTAATTTCCCGAAACATTTAAAACATCTCTCCAAAAAGGGTTTTTCACACATAAATATTTATCAGCATTGACTCCTAAATTTATCATATCAGTGAAAGAAAAAACTGAGGGATTATCACATGTACTCTTTTTTAAATACTTTCTTAAAGTAGATAATTTTAGTGATTCTATAAATATTTTAATGTCCACCATTCTAAGCCCACCATCAGCATAATTTTTTTCCAGATTTTGCCTTTTAATTTTATCTGGTTTATTATTCCATAAAAAACTAAACAAAATTTTATTTAAATTTGTAATAAAATCTTCTGGGGGGTTTGGCAGTGCCATAAAAATATGGACAAGAGTTGAGAGAGCCAATGACTTGATAACAGTAATTTTACCTATAAGAGTCAAGTTTCTTCTTCTCCAGTTTGCCAATAACCTATTTATTGTTTCAAGTCTTTTTCGGGTATTGATAACCCATAGATCTTGCAAATGGGGGTTGAGAATAATTCCCAACACTTCAAAATTGCCTACATGCCAGTCCAACTTTAAGTCTTCACAAATATTTGTTGAGCTCCCTGCTTTCGACCCGATCCATATGGCTTTTGTTTTATCAATATTTATTTTAAGTCTAGACATTTTAAAGAAACAATCAAGTATATTTATTGCTGCATACAGGCAGTCAGCCTCTCCGTTTAAGAATAATTGTGTGTCGTCTGCATACTGACCTAATTTGTACTCTTTCTCATTCAATACAATTCCTATAATGTTTTTATTGTCTCTTATCATACAGCCTAAGATTTCCACAGCAAAAAGAAAAAGATATGGTGATATTGGGTCTCCTTGTCTGCAACCTCTTTCATTAATAAAGAAAGAAGACATATGACCGTTTTGTATTACACAAGAGGATGCATTATTAGTTAGTAGGTGTATCCATTTTATCATATAAGGCCCAAAACCATACTTTTCTAATGCCCTGGAAATAAACTGTCTTGATATTGTGTCAAACGCTTTCTCAAAATCAATCAGCAGCAACATTCCTGGTCTATTTAGTCTTTTACATTCAAACATGTCATACAAAAGTCTTGTGTTTTCGCTAATACATCTTCCAGGAATAAAACCAGTTTGATTATCATGAATTAGGTGATCTAAAGTTGTTTTCATTCTATTTACAATACATGTACTAATTATTTTATAAAGTGCATTCAGCAATGATATTGGACGCCAGTTTTTTAGAAATCTTCTGTCTTTGTTTCCCTTGGGTATACACGTAATGACTCCCCTTTTCATTGTATATGTCATTTCCTTATTTTCAAAAGTTTCGTTTATGTATCTAAAAACCCATCTTTTTAAGTCTTTCCAATTCGAATTCTATTGGAAAGCCATCTACTCCTGGGCTTTTGTTATTTTTCATTTGTTTTACTGCCTTTGATATTTCATCTAAAGTGATTTTTTCTTCTAAATTAACCCTTAAGTCTTCATTTAGACTAGGTGTTTTTACATTTTTGAGTGTCTCAGCATTTTCACTATCATTTTCTTTTGGTAATGAGTAAAGCTTCTCATAAAATTTTCTTTGTTCATTTATTATTAAGTCCCCGTCAGTAATTTCTTCCCCTTTATTATCAATCAAAGTGTTTATGAGTTTACTTGTATAATTTCTAGATTCCAAAGTACAAAAGTAGCTTGTTGGTTTTTCACCTTCATCATACCATTTTATCCTATTTCTAATATGTATTCCTCTTGTTACTTCTTCATTAATTTTTTCTAATTCTATTTTATATTTGGATAGTTCAGCCAATTTATTTTCACTAATCTGTTGAAAGTTATTCCTAATGTCTTCCTCTACTTCTTCTATTTTATCTTCCAGTTCCTTAGTCTGGTTTTGCCTGTTTGTTTTTTAACATATGTTGCAAATGATATGGTTTTACCTCTAATTTTCATTAATAAAGTTTCCAGAAATAAACAGTCACCAATGGTTAATTCTAAGTTTGTATCCTCATCACCAATCTTACCTCCTGGCTCTTTACAAGAATATTCTGTTATAGTTTCTTCCATAATTTCCTTCACCATTTTAACATAATCTACATTACACAATAATGAGGTATTAAGCTTCCAATAACCTCGTCCTTTTTCCTGACTTAACCTGTTTGAGAATTCGAGAGTTATAACTGAATGGTCAGATTTATAGCCTGGTAATATTGAACTCTTTAAAGTCATATCATAAATATCTTGAGAGATCATGAAAAAATCAAGCCTTGCCTGTTGTCTTGGATTTCTTTTCCACCAAGTGTATTTTCTTAAGTCCTGATTCATATCCCTCCAGACATCTATAAGGTTATAATTGTTCTACTTTTTCCAATACTGTTTCTCTAGCTTTTGGGTTATTAATGTTTTTATAATTTTCTAAATCAAAAGCTGGATTCAGAACAAGGTTCCAGTAACCGCAAATTACTAGCGATTCATTTTCAAAATTATCAATATCCGTAAATAGTTTTAGATAAAAGCCTGGATCATCTTTATTTGGGCCATATAAGTTAACCATGGTCAACTTAATGCCTTCAATAGTGATATCTGTAAGTATATAGTTACCGTTACTATCTGTTTTAGTTCTAAAATTTTTATTTCTAAATTATTATTGAAAAGTATAGCTACCCCTCTGGCGTAGGACCTAAATGGTGCAATAATACATTGTAGCCCCCATTCATTTCTCATTAAATTTTCATCTTTTTCAGAAATATGAATGTCCTGTAGACAAATGATTGAGAAATTTTTCTTTCGCCAGATATTCATGACTTCCTTTCGCTTTTTTTTTCAGCTAAGCCTCTACAATTTACAGATACAACTTTAATTTTATTTATTTTAGCCATTATCAAAGGGAAAGATTTGACAACTTTTAAACCGTGTAAACATGATGAACAGTTTACACCTACTGAGCATATACAGGAGATTTTTAGTTGGAGTACACAAAAATAAAAAAGATAAACGAAAAGAAAAACTTGTGTATAAAAAAAAAGAAAGGTAGCCTTGGCAAATACATGCGAGGTTCAGCGAACTCTGAACCGCCCATCCGTATTTATAATAAAAAAGAAAATATTTTACATTTATGACCACAGGTAAAACAAAATGTTCTCACATGAACGTACAACTTGTCACATACCTTCAATAAAGTTCTTTGTTGTCATCATATATCAACATTCAACAATATCTGTGTTCTACACTTCGGAGTATCAACACTGAAAAACACCGGAGGAAGTAACTAGTAGAAACCGGACCCTTTCGACCCTTTTGGGTATTTTGTAACATCGTCGCCTCTTTCATGTGTTATAAATCCTAAAATGTTCATTTGAAACACGCAAGCCTTTTTTATTAATCCGAAACACGTTTAAAGCTATTAAATATGTCTACCAGGTGTCAGCAGACGTGTTCGTTTACACCTGGTATCGTCACTATCTGATAGTGATACGCTACCGGGACGACGAGGCAAATACAAAGACGTTACGTCACGTTGCACCAGGATAATGCTCGCCCGCCCGTAACGGACGTTTTTAGGCAAATAACACTGCTGTACTGTCACGACCAGCTGTTTTCCCAGACCTCTTCACCATAGAACATGTCTGGGATAAGATGAAACGACGCCTACGACAGGACCAGAACCAGCCGGTAACGCAAGCTCAGTTGGTACAATTGTTGACATATGGAACAACACCCCCCAGGCTTCAATCATTTTTCAATTAATCATCTGGTGTCTTTAATGCGCCGTCGCTGCCTCGCCTGTAGCAATGCAAATGGTGGTCAAAGCCGATATTGACATTGTTAAGTGAGTGCGTCGCAACCTTGCCACGCAAATGGCAATTTCATTAAAAATCCTATCTTAGTTCTCTCTAGCACTTAAACAAAGATCTGACGACATTCCACTACGGGTCATGTCACTACGGTCGGGTCATGAAAGACCTATCATCCGACCTATCGGGAAAGTGACTATAGGAATGTGTTTTCTAACCATGCAACCTCGTAGAGGTTAACATGGGGTGCGAGCGAACATTCCGAGCGATAGTATGATTCCGTCAAAAGCATCGTCTATCTCTCGCTTCAGTGGGATAAACATTTGAACGGAAGAGACGTTGCGTAGTCCGTGGGGGGTACTGCCATACAATATCGACCATCTTTTGTTCAATTTTCATATATGGGATCGAGAACTTTGTCAACGTAGTTTTCAAGCGTAGTCTGGAATGGAAGACGCCAGTTGAAACTGGTGCCGTAAACTGCTTTCTGATTGGCTAATGTCGACGTCTTGTTAGTCATTTCATTGGTCGGTCAAAGTTCGCGAGAGGTCGTTCTGAAGTGACAAGCAATGTGATGTCCTCAGATCTTTGAATAGCGGCGGCGAGAACTAACATCTGTTTTAATGAGATTGCGCATATAAATAATTACGTATTTTTATTTTTCCAAATAGAAAGTAAGAAGTGACTATCCTGCCAAGAGTATTCAAATTATTTTCACTTTTAGTTTAGTTTTGTTCATTTCCTTTTGAAATTTGATATTTTCGCTTCGTGGCACGGACTTGTATATATAGGTGATCGCCAGTCACGAAACAGTGACATGCTAACCACTAAGTAACGGAGCTTCATGTTTATACACAATCATGTGATGGGGAGGCATTAGGAACACATTCATAGGAGTGGTATTATATACACAGTGCACAATTCACATTCTGTATAATTTTCTGGTATCATTTCAGTGAGTGGGCATACATAAACGATGAACTTCTTATTGTTTATATGTGAGTATTTGTTAGTTTCTTCTATATCACAGCAGCGGATATGTCAGTTGTAAATAAAAGTTTTCAAATTTTTATGTTTGTGTTACGGCACGCCTTATGACAACTCATTTTGATTGCAAAGTTTACAGATTGTATAAACAGAATCTCCTTTTTGGGTGTTAATTAGGGGATAAACATACTGTGTAGAATTAACCGCGCTTAATCAAATTTGGAACCGAACGCGCAGCGTGAGGTTTCAAATGTTAAATTTAGCGCGGTTAAATCTACAGGCAACCGAGCTCTACATTGAAAACACAGTATGTTTATGTACATTCTACCATGACTAAATAAAACGCGAACTCTTTGGTGTCAGCAAATATACTGAGTGAAGCGGCATGGGTTGAGTCCAGTGTTTTGAGTAAGTTATCGATCTGAATTAAAGAATTACCGAACAAAATATGGCACTGATCTAAGAAATAGTCTTATACCTAAGTATTACCATTCATAACCTTCATTTGATAAATTTTGCACACTTATGTCTTGCCGAAATGAGAATGTTATTAATAAATTGGCTAAATATATTTTCTTGCTTTTAAGAAACGACAACAGTTTTTCAAATGTATACATGCAATAATTAAATTGTTTCACAATGTATATCACGTGTATTATCTGGCGCCTGCTATTGATGTTATCCGCTGTATCCATATTGTATAAATGGCCGGTGGCCTCTTTACTGATATAAACTCACAAGCTCCTTCACAGTGCGTGACACCTTCGTTACACTCTCGGTAACATCGCGATAGTACAGAGAGCTTCGCGAAGGGGCTATGGCTGTGAGGAGCTTGATAAACTCACTCACAATATGGCGCTGTATATACTCAGGCAGTTTGTTTACACCGTAATACTTCACTCGAACATATGGCAGACATTGAAAACAATAAGCACGGCAACTTGTTAAGCTAACATGAGGCGGGCATCCCTAAAGAAAGCAAAGCAAGCTTTGCAAGGCTTTCGCTCTACATCGCGCGTCACCATTATGACGTCATATCGCTCATTGTGACGCAAAAAATATGACGTCACAGTCGTATAAAGAAAAGCGCCAAAATTCCAAGCTGTCTGTTGTCTCCAAAATGTAAATACATTCCTTTTGTAGATTTCTATCTACCCCCCCCCCCCCCCCCCCCCCTTTTTATTTCGAAAAAATACTTTATTTCTGTATAAATTACCACCAAAGACAATAAATAGTTCTTAATTGTGCACCCCCCCCCCTTTTAAAAAAAGCTGTATCCGCCCATGTTGCTACACATCCTTTAAATATTGTAGTAACCGCATCTGTGCATTTTGTAACCGGTAATTGTAGATATAATTATTTAAATATGCCTACCGACAATGACTGAAAACTGTCCTATTCTATGAATATTAGCTTCCGCGGTGATGCGGCCAGCTGTTTCAATCAATGGGGGTTTATTGTGATTTAATAGCCTCTGATTGACCAATCAGTATCGAGCAAATTCCAAATTCTACCACTGCGCGTTCGGTTCCAAATTCAATTTAGCGCGGTTAAATCTACAGGTAACCTAGCTCTACATTGAAAACACAGTATGTTTATCTCCTAATTCATGGTAGAATTAAATGCAATGACATATTAAGCAGACCATAAACGTCACAGTTTTCATGTACATGACTCATACTGTTGCTCTAAGACTCCATTGCCCATATAACCAGACGCACGTAACTCATTACTTGATATGTTTCTGTTGCCAGTACTACTGCCTCAAGTCATCTTTACCTGGTCTCATGGCTGGCCCAAGTGTAAGTTCATGCCCTCAACTGACAAGATTTTAATTAACACGAATCTGTTTCTGCATTCTTATTCAATTACTTGGAGAGACTGGCGAATTGTACCAACAATGTTTCAAAAGAATTGTTCTTGAAAAGAAAAAACATTGACTTTGAGTTAATAAAAAGTAAGTAAGTTAACAAAATGTTCACATTTACCCTGAGAAGATCGTGACGGTTGCGGGGGCACGGGTGGCCCAGTCATCTAAGGCGCCGCAATTCACTGTGCAGAGTTGCGTCCCTTGGATACGCCAGAAACCTATGATTGTGGGATCGAATCCCGGTTCGCCTCGATTATGTTTCAAGGTTTGTCAGCACCATACGCGTGCTCGTGGGTTTCACCGAAGAGGTAAACGTCTGAGACCTGCATCACTTCGGGCTTTCCTCCCACATTTAGCTGACACGCTGTGATATAACTGGAATATTGTTAAAAGCGGCGTTAAACCCAACTCACTTACTCACTCACTCACTCGTGACGGTTGCACCTTTATGACATCGATACAAATACCAATACAGATCAATACAGTTCATCCAGTTCGTGGAGGTCCCATTTTACGAGGCAGTAAAAAGTGAGTGAGTGAGTCCTTTAACGCCGCTGTGGACAGTGTTTCAGTTATATCACAGAAGTTTACCGCTTTGCTGAAACTAACGAACACGGTGTTAACAAATCTTGAAACATAATCAGGGTTCGAAACTTGGATTCGGTTTCTGAAGCGCCTTAGCGACGTGAAGCTGCATAGCGGATTGCGGCGACCTAGACGACTGGGCCTCCCCCATGTACATTCGTGGAGACTAAACGAATTTGTGCCTATCTTGGTGGGGTAGCCTCGTCATTGCAAGTTTGATCCGTAAAGTCAGTTTAGGAATACCTAGACTGCATCATCGTTGCGACAGGCATATCAGAATACAAAAAGCACACTGCTGTCACAGTCTCAGTTTGGGAACGAGTATAAATGTCCTGTCAAGATTGAATACCAAATACGTTTCAAAATGTCATTTCTTCCAGACAACCAGGAAGACGATTGTCTCGATGTCGCCATTATCGGAGCAGGCATCGGCGGCACATACACAGGCTACCGTCTACGAAACAGGGGACTGAAACTAGCCATATTTGAGTACTCGGACAGAATTGGAGGCCGTATGTTCACAGCCGCACTGCCCACTGTGCCTGGCACGACTGTGGACTTCGGGGCGATGAGGTTGAATCCCAAGGAGCACACATTTCTTGCGCATACTGCGACCCAGCTTGGACTCAAAATTGTAGACTTTCCTTTAAACTATGGCAACCGTAACGAGACGATATACTACCTCCGTGGTCGTCATCTCCTGCCAGATGAACTTGGTGGCCCGCGGACTCCATACAATTTGAGGCCGAACGAGAGACTCAGCCCGAGTGATCTTTTGTGGTAAACATTTTTCATGAAACCATTTGTATGAAAATTGCTAAAAAAGAGAATTTATCCAAGGTATAAATTAGTAAACTGTAATCAGTTATACAAGAATTCCAATTTAACGTTGTTTAGAGAGTAACGACAACTTAACAGTTAATCTAACCCCTCGAATCTTATCACGTCATATTTCAGGAGGTTATATACAGAGAACACCAACATGAGCCGTTATGCGTACCCTTCAGAGTCGGAGATATACACAATATACACAACAGATGGGTACCCACTATATACCATGAGGTATGTCCATATACACTAAAGGTAATCTTACGCAGGGGCACATATTTCGGTGCAATTATTTTCAAGTTTTATCATATTTACAGCATGCTGATTGGCGCAAACTGTTCGTCCAATTGCTTCCATTGTTTGCGAAGTTGGGGTCATGACGTCACAGACAGCGTTATATAACCTTGGTTCAATAATAGATTAATTGAGCTGGTGTCTCCACTGCACCAGTAACCAGGAAACTTCTCTACATTTCCCCTAAAAAAAGAACAGGGTAATATACATCTCTAAGGGTGAGCGATGCTATGTATACCTATGAGGAATGACTTCAAATGTATGTTACGTATACAATTCTTCCTGGTGATAATACGGACCGCCTCCGTGGTCTAGTGGTAGAGCGTCCGCCCGGAGAGCGGAAGGTCCGGGATTCGATCCCCGGCCGCGTCATACCAAAAGACGTTTAAAGATGGTACTTGTTGTTACCCTGTCTGGCGCTCGGCATTAAGGGGCGAAAACAAGGACTGGTCGGTTCGGAGTCAGTATACTGTGTCTGAGTGGGATATTCATGTTAAACTGCGGCATGGTATCTCAGTGAGCTAGCACTATAAATCGGCATCAGTCCGGACTAGTACAAGCAGCCACACAAACACACACACGTACATGCACGTCGCTATACAAGTGCATTAAACCCCATTTCACCTCACCTCACCTGGTGAATAATACCCCTGTTCGTAAAGCTACCCTGGTCACAGTGCCATTTCCGCAGTGCAAAGTTCCCTGATTATACTGATACCCTGCCAATGCCAATGCCCATGTTTTTCAAAACAAACGTTCCAATTTCCCGGTTATAATGTCATATTACTTTTTGAATTTTGAAAAAAACAATTCGCAATGTAGTTAATCTTTGGGAGATGATTGCTTCTTCTACATTGAAGAATCTAATTGCATTGATCTCAGTTGTTCTCACAGCTTATCCTCATACAGAAGATTCATTTCTTGCCATCTTCAACAAGACTCCTACAGCCCTTGATACTTTCATCACCCAATAATTCAATTCCCAATACCGCAAGCTCAGATTAATCAGACTGTATTGATAATAAACTGCCCCCACATATCATGTATTGACTCTGTCCCCACCACCAACGTCGACATGCAAACACTTCATGGAGATGATGAGAAGTCTAGAGGCACAAGCCAGTCCACAAGCTAGAGCCTCATTGACACGCTGACACAAATTTCAGCTGGCCCTAAGCAAACTTATGTCAAGGAATTTTTTTCAAAAAATTATTATTGTTCACTTTTGACCCCATGGTTGACAATTTATATGATGTCTCTTTTATTTAACCTCCGATACATTATGTCATTTAGGTCTGGTTTTTCCCTTCTTTGTTGTAATGTCATACTTTCCGCAGGACGAAAGGTAGCATCATTACAAGATTCGAGTACACGAGTTGCTTACGGGGTTATTTTTCTTCACAGTGTTTACCAATTTCGATGTAGACAGTCTTATCTGTAAATATATTTGTTTTGACACATAGTCGTATGCTACTCAAAAGGATCATTTGCACTGCTGAAAACGGATATCACCCAAGACATTGAATCACCAAGTGCTGCAACATCCTCGAAACAAGCGAGGGTATGCATGGTATTGTCAACATGCAAATGTCTCGACCATGTACAGTATTACCGGAGACGATTTGGGATGTCTAGGTTTCATTATAACCTGTATAACACAAAATAACATTTGTTGATCATTGTACCTTATACAGTACCTTACATCCGCTCAAATGCATCTGTATGAAGCTTATTCATGTTGTAATCCTTTCGTTTTTATCCCCAGCATGGACAACTTCCTCAGTCGCTATGCTAGCAGAGAGGCCTACAGCTATTTACGAGATGCTTTGGTCTGGCACCACGCTTCTGGAAGATTTGGCGCTCAAATTGGATTCGACTTTCTGACCTTTCTTAGTGATAATACTTCTCCCCCCGACCTAAAAACTGTGGACAATGGTATGGACCAAGTGCCCAAACGACTGTTGAGCGCCTTCGTACTGGCCAGTCCCAGGTAAATAGTCCACCAGCTAGCTTCACCTTTAATGCTGCCTATGAGGCAAGGCTGTGAAGACCCGCATTTGAATTGGTCTTCAGCAACCTATGCTTGTCGTAAGATGCGACAAACGGGATCGGGCGGTCAGGCTCCCTGATTCTGATGCATGTTATCGCATCCCAAATGCGTCGATGACGCCATCATATAGCTGGAATGTTGCTGAGTGCGGTGTTAAACAACAAAGAAACAAACAAACAAACGTTAGACAGTCAGTTGTCATTGTTAGTATAGAGTAAGTGAAGGTTTCAATGAGTTTGTGTTTACATAAACACATCTGCAAAAACCTGCTGATACATATGATCAGTCCAATCTATATTATACTTTTAAGACGACGTTTATTTCATGTTTTAGACATTCCATCCACCTGAATCACCATCTGACCTCCATGAAAGGTCGTCCTGGCAACTACAGGTTGACGTTCCAGCCCACCAGTACAGTGGCTGGTTACACTAAACCCACACTGGTAAAACGTTGTCCTTTCCAGTGAATGTTTGGTAACACCTTGTCGTTTAGATGTCAGCTATATCATGGCGGCCTGTAAATAATCGGGGACATGGTTAACGTTGTCCAGTCATCTCATGCACCGTAATTATATATGTTGCAGTCCTGAGGCATACAGGATTCCTATGACATGGGGTTCGAATCCCATATTCACTTCTATCAGCAACAATATCCATGAAATGCATCATGTCGGGCACAATATCCGTACTCGTGGGGTTTACTAAATTGATACGCATCCATGACCTGCATCATTTCGGGCACAATATCCGTACTCGTGGGGTTCACTAAATTGATACGCATCCATGACCTGCATCATTTCGGGCACAATATCCGTACTCGTGGGTTTCACTATGGCGGTAAGCATCCATGACCTGCAACTCGACGGGCATTCTTTCCACATTAATACTACGAGTTTGTATCTGAGAAACATCAGTAATCCTTATTTTGATCTGTTAAAAGAACTGATGAGAATGCAATAGAGACTCGTGGTGCATGTCACCGTGGTTAGGAAGAAAGATGTTCCAGTGGTTCCGTTTCCTCCAACATACATAAATATTAGGAATATAGAACTTGTTACATCTAGCCAATAAAGGCAACAAAACCCTTCCATGATGAAAAGTAATATCTGCTAAGAATGTGGCACCCGTCATGTACACATGCAAAGGAAAAATCCAGTCAGCTGAAAAAACACGGGATCACATGATCTTTATCACTGATGCGTAAAATTTGAAACTGTCCACATCTTTTTCATAAAACATTTTGAAGGTCTTGCTTAGGCCTTGAATGTTGTCACCCGGATCAAACAATTTATGAGCAAAAGTCGTATGACGCACAATAAAATATTTGTAGAAAGGGCGTGTTCGTGTATGAGATGTATGTAGGCACCAAAGGCTGAAGCTACTGAAATATTGCTGACATGAAGGAACAGTTGGCTATTGGAGTAGAGGTCATACCCCTTCCATACAGCCGTTAGGGTAGGCTACCATCTAATGACTTGAACTTTTTTGTTCACTCACAATACCATTTGTCGTATCTCAATAGCAAAGTCGTGATACAAAACACAAAAACTCGATGCTTGCCATGTTTAGGAGCCTCATTCACTAAGCAAACGGAAAAACACAAATCGTATCTGATAAACTTGATTTGATTTACAATGGCTGTTATCATGATACATGGTGTCAGAAGATGGCGTTTCAAGTTCCTCTTAATGGCATATTATACATTTCTCAATACATTTCCTGACTCATTATCTGAAATCCATTAAAAGACTACAGATTGACGTTCCGCCGTTCCGCACAACATAAGTACAGATACGGATCCTTACAGCCCAAATCAGAATTCCATTTGGTTTTTTCCTGTAGATATTTTCCAGAACGTGCAACGTAAACTACATATTGTAATGCCTATCTCATATGCTTCGTGTTCCTAACAACACCGACACAATTCTCTAATTGCAGTTGCCAAACAGGCATGTGTGTGCTAGAAAGGTGGTCCTAGCTATACAGAAGGACTGTGTGGAAAAAGTGGACTTTGCACCTTATCAGAGCAGAGAATTCCGTAGGCGACTGAACACTGTTTATGGCGTGCAGTCACAAAAAATCTTCCTTGCCTACCCCTACCCCTGGAAGTACTTCAATAACATCAATGAGAACATCACCCATGCAAAAACGAATCTGCCAAGCAAGTTTACTTACGACTGGCGGGAAGGTTCCAATGGGTACTGGATCCACCTCCCTTCTTATAGCGATGGAGAGAGTAGTGTTGCCCTCTGGCGGGAACTTCAGAACCAAGGGAGCACCATATATGGAAGTATGCCAGGAGCACAGAGGGTATCAACTGAGGTACGGGATAGGATACATTCCTATATGAGCAGAATCTATAGACTACCAAAATCCTACATTCCTTCCACAGTAGGAGGGGCGATGCAACTTTGGGACACATTCCCATTCAGAGCTGCATGGCACATCTATAAACCAGGTTTCAGGATGGAACAGACTCGGGATTACATGCTGAAGCCATTTGCCAATCATGAAGTCATTCATGTGGCTGGTTCCTGGTGGCCAAACAAACTACAGGGATGGTCCGAGGCTGCATTGCGTGCAGTTGACTTGGCGGTAAAACGATATCTATGAATCCGCATAAGTCAGTAATTTCTGCCTTCACAATGTTAGTGATATATTTTGAAGTGAAACCATTTATACTTTGAAATAAACCAGTCATTAATCACTGCAATTGAGTTTATCATTTGTGTTAACACGAAAGTGCGCAAATACACATTTAGAAGCAGAACGGTTCAGTCTTTAACATAGTATGTAACGCGTGAAGATCCGGGGTAGAATAGGTCTTCAGCAACCCATGCTTGCCGTAAAAGGCGACTATGCTTGTCGTAAAAGGCGACTAACGGGATCGGGTGGTCATGCTCGCCGACTTGGTTGGTGCCTGTGCATGGTGCTCATGATATGAATCACTGGATTGTCTGGTCCAGACTCGATTATTTACAGACCGCCGTCATATAGCTGGAATATTGCAGAGTGCGGCGTTAAACAACAAACAAACAAACAAACAAAACATAGTATGTGATGAACAATTATCCCGTTGATGATGAAGAGGATTATGATAATGGTGATGTAATGATATTATAAAGCCATTAAAGCGTGATGCAAATATTATGAAGTCCTCTTGGGTTTGTCATAAAGTTTTGAAGTCTGACATTGCACTAGGTCGATTTTGCATATCGAGTCGTCAGATCGCTGAAATAGTCAAGCGATTTTGAGCTTTTAGCTTTTCACATTTAGAAAACCCTACTGGTTACATCACACAATTATTAAGACATTTGAGAGCATGTTGACAAACTCGAAAATTATTTGACCAAGGGCATAACGTTAAGGAACACAAAATATGTTATAATCTAGAGACTTGAAGAGTTAGTGTCTAAGGGGGACGGTGAGATGAATACAGACATGGCGTCTTCGACACTCACACACCGACATGTTCCATTGATAGCGTGAGTGGATATCATCTGCAGATGACAAAGAGGGACGTTTTCAAGTTGTCTTCAGGAGTATAAGATAGCTTTACCGCTACACTTAGGAGGGTTGATTGCGAAGCTCTAAGCCTCAAATAGAATGAATTGCGCAAGAGTGAAATCTTTTGTTATATAAATTACTTGATGTCACAGAAGCATATCAATACAAACTTCATCATCTGGGCAAACTGTTTCGCTGCGACAAGTTATTAATATTCACAAGGGGTTTGTGACCGTTGGAAAGTGGAGAAACCTGAGGAACGTGATGTAATCATGTACTTGCATATTGTTGTTTGTACTCAAGACTGGAATTGTTTTCCTCCTACAAATGCCCTCAAAATATCCGAAAGTATTGCTGGACCCTTTACGCACCTGTCCCGGGGGACACAAGACCTGTAGTGTTTTACCGGTGCGTATAACATTATTTAAGGGGACTTAATTAGGAGCTTACAGATTGACGATGTAATCTTCACAGTACACGTTTAAACTTAGCGAAATTCATTTAACTTAAGATGTATCCATGTGGGTAATCGTATCCGGGTCTTCGGAATGACGCGTGCGATCTAGTTCCCTCACAACATAACCAGGGGGCTCACTAACACGCCACTCCTGAATACTAATAATGTCATTCTTTCATGAACAATTAACGAGAAGCATGTGGGTTAAAGTTATAAACACTGACATTAAATGCTTGGGCGTAATGTGGGCTGCTTGACATTGGGGACATTTATGGCGGTGTAAAGATTATTCATTCCATCACACCTTACACACGCCCCGAGCCATAAATCCCACTTGAGTGTAGGAGAGCCTGCCCGTTCTTACTATCAGCCCGTATCCGCCACTCTAGTCTTTCGTTATCATGGGCAATAAAACTCACGGCAATATTCCACTCACGTGAAGAATAATATTTCATATAGCTTTGTTTCTGTTTGCCGAATTTTGGATTCACCGGACGGTGTACACATCGTTGATGTCACATTCTCATATCATTGATGTCAGCACTGTAGTGGAACAATGGATATGCAAGATAAGCACCAAATAGTGAAATTTCGCACAAAAATCAAAATCAACAACTTAATTGGAAATTGGAGCGTTGTCACACACAAGTCTGTATAAACCGGTTGCGATCTGTTCATGCAAACAGAGACCATATATGGTCTCTGATGCAAAGTATGTATGTACATGTGTGTTTGTGTGTGTGTGCGTGCGTGCGTGCGTGCATGCGTGCGTGCGTGCGCGTGTGCGTGTGTGTATGTAGCTGTAGTTAAACTTCAAAGCCCTGTTAAGGCCATAGTACTACCAGGCCACTTGTTGCGTGAAGATCCGGGGTAGAATAGGTCTCCAGTAAGGCGACTATGCTTGTCGTAAGAGGCGACGAACGGCATAGGGTGGTCAGGCTCGCTGACTTGGTTGATGCATGTCATGGTATCCTAGTTGCGTGGAACGATGCTCATGCTCATGATCACTGGGTTGTCTGGTCCAGACTCGTTTATTTACTGACCGCCTTAATATAGCTGGAATATATTGCGGCGTTAGTGCGGCGTTACACAACAAACAAACAAACAAAATCTCATAAGGTTTTGTAAACTTTAACTCCTTAACTCGGCTACCTAGTTTTAAGACTTGCTTTGCAGGATTGCGTACCAACACTGTTACAATGCCAATGTGCATATGGTGTCATGAACTGTTATAGAATGTATATAATACAATTAATGTGAAACAATACTTGTGTTTGTCTTCTATATTTTCCGTGTGGCCGTTATGACTCATTTGTGGTTGTTTTGACATTTTTCCTGAAGCCGTTTTGACGTTATCTTTTGAGGCCGTTCTGACATGAGGCCGTTTTGACCTGCTCTCCTAACAATGTGTTGGTCTAGAACCCATGTACTGTTTAATCGTTCGGTGAATAACATTAACGGTAACATGTTAACGCGTGTGCACAATGTTACATTTGTTAATCATAATAGAACAGAGTAATCTTGTTATCGCATACGTTGGCTAAATTGCGTGTAAATTGCACTTTAACTTACACAACTCCTAATCCTGTCCCTACGTTTACACGTTCCAACTGTTGGGGCACCTGTCTGAATCATATGGCACGAACTTCGCTAAAGGTCACACAGAGCTGGGTGATTACGTGTTTCACTGCATGACTTCCCGAGAAAAAGGTTTGTTAAGAATATACATACAGGTGAAATGTAACTGTCTGTGTCAGGTACCAGTAACGCAGGCCAGCCACACCATGACGTTGACAGGGTGCACTGATTGCGATGTCGTGGCAAGATTTGACAGTCTACACTATTTCCGTGGAGCAAAGTTGTTCTTTCTCCTCCAGGCAAGAACTGTCAGCAGTGGATGGGTATGTCGTCCGTGAATGTACATATCGTCTGGCATTAGCAATGTGAAAGTTTGTTTGGTGTTGAACGCCGCACTCAGCATCATTACAGCTATACGACGGCGACCTGGAAATATTCGAGTTTTGGCCGTCCGTATTGTGGCCAACGATCCACACCATCGGGGTTCGATAACACGCAAATCAACCAAGTCATGGAGCCTGACCACTCGATCCATTCAGTCGCCTCATACCACCAACATAGGTTGCTGGGGAGCAATTCTAACCCGCAGTCCCTAATGGGCAATTTGAAGGTAAAAAGTGATTATGAAAAACACTAATGAAGTATGATGCCGGTAGATCATTCTCATCTATCTCACGGCAGCCTGCTGAGATGAAATTTCACGTGTTTCATGTGTGAAATGTCTCATGTGTGTACACGACAGTACACGACACATGCATTCGGGCTCAGGCGGGAAGCGGGCGCGGAAAAAGGCGCGGACCGGGCGAAGCCACCCCTTCGGGGGAGGACGAGCCTGGACCGAGCTTCGACTGCCTCGTGGACCAATTTAGCTTGCGGGTAAGCCCTTGACGGGGCCATCTCTGCGTCGTTTGACAAGCAACGGCTAACTGGGAACAAGCAAGGACCAGGGGAATCCGACTGTCTAATTAAAACAAAGCATTGCGATGGCCGCCGCCTGGTGTTGACGCAATGTGATTTCTGCCCAGTGCTCTGAATGTCAAAGTGAAGAAATTCAATCAAGCGCGGGTAAACGGCGGGAGTAACTATGACTCTCTTAAGATGACCCTGAGAAGAGCTGGGTCAGAGTAGGCTATTGCGCACCACGGTCCAACAGGGGGGTACCTCTTCGTGGTGGAGCTATCAACTGACCTGAGGGTCGGACCAAATCCTCCCTAGATATACAGGACGAAAGTCCCAAAATCAATGATGATGAATGTTTAACATTCAAGTCTCAGTACGGATGCAAGGCGCCGTGTCCCCGCGAGGGGGCTAAACGTTGTCGTTTTGCCGATCGGCTGGGAATCGCAATTCGCTAAGATCTATTCCATGCCGTCATGAGCAGTAGGGCCCTGCTGCGCAATTGATGTACCGCGAGGGTCCCAGATAGGGACGAGAGGAATTGCTATAACCTCTCCGAGGTAATTAGTCCGTGAGGGTGAACGGTGTGACGCCTCCAATCTGATGGCGAAATGAGAATCATCGCTGACTCTCCTACTAATAGCAAAGTGGTGCAGAGGACAGCCAAGCATACTGTATGTCAGACATTAATACAGTCACAATTTACATCACTTGAAATATAGTGTAAATGATAAATTAAAGCTCGATGTTTAACGCAGCATTCAGTTAAGGATTGACTGTTGACTGTTTTCGGTTCATTGAGGTATGAATATAAACACCGATGTGCAAACTGTATGAATCCACATGGCGGATTCTTACAAAAGTTTGCGCATCGGTTTTTCGATTAGTACAACACAAGGTCTCATTTCCTTCAATCTCATCACCATCAGAGTCACAGCATACTATGTATTTCTGGACGCTGTAACGTATGTATCAGATACTCGTCACATATATCGCCTAGCAATTGCTACTGTCACCTTGCCTACCTACTGCAACTTGAAGAACCTGTCTCACTTGCCAGTAGGCAGCAAAAGTTCTGTCTTGCAAATTATGTCAAGCTTTTCTATCCACAACTTATAGGAAGTAACGCATGCATCTGTGCTGTCCTGGAATGGGGTTACAATAAACAAAACCAATGTTTAAAATTTTACAATTTAGAGATGATTAACACCAGCTGATTCTCATCTTCCTGAGGCAAGGGAGTTAACTCACTGTAAAAGTCCATTTTCTACCCTTGCCGAACCAGGCTGGAATTCCTGGGCTCGATCGTAGCGCCACGGGAGGTGATTACGAGATATGTCCCTTATAAGCCTCTCCTATGGACTAATCAGATTCCACTTCTCGTATCACATGTATTTGTTTCAAACAAAATGGCGGCGCCCAGTCAAGACGATCTGATCGATAATCAAGACCTATAGTGTGATAAAACGGGTCTTACCTCGCGAAGTGCATCAAATCACGTGAGATCCTTGATTAAAAACGTGAAAAAACTTTGAAAATATCTGTTGACAACAAGTTGGCGGTGCACATGCTTTGCAACTCATGCGATCAACCGAAATCTGCACGACAGTTTACTAACCGGATTTCGATTTCGGTGCGCTATTTTGATTGGACTGTGCATAGACTCGTTAGTCCAGCCAAAATGTAACTCCATAATACCATCCTTGTTCGGCAAGGGTGAAAACTTGACTTTTATAGGCAGTGAACTCCCTGGCCTCGTGAAGATGTCTGATTTTATAATCCATGTAAATTATAAATTCAAATTCACATCCAGCCCCCAGTGGCCCAGTCGTCTAAGGCGCCGCGATTCGCTGTGCAGAGTTCGAATCCCGTTTCGCCCCGTTTCTAGGTTTGTCAGCACCATACCCGTGCTCGTGGGTTTCACCGAAGTGGTAAACGTCTGAGACCTGCATCACTTCGGGCTTTCCTCCCACATTAAGCTGACACGCCGCGATATAACTGGAATACTGTTAAAAGCGGCGTTAAACCCAACTCACTCACTCACTCACTCACAAATCAAATAGCGTCTCTGCAGAACAACACAGTCACGGAGCATTGTTTGTGTGTTGTTTAACGCCACGGTCTGCAATATTTCAGCAATATGACGGTGTTGAATCTAAACCAGACAATTCAGCAATTATTATCATAATATCATGAGAAACGATTCACGCAATTGAGATACGATGACATGTAATTAACCAGGACACCGAGCCTGACCATCAGATCCATTTAGTGGCCTTTTACGACCAGCGTACATTGCTGCATGGTGACCTACATTATCATGCGGACTCCCTACGTGTCCCCGGAAGATTGACCGACACACTACGGTCAACGAGTGAAGCCCAACGATGATTTGATTAGGTACACGTTGGTTTTGGATGTACAAAGGACTTTCTTACATCTACGAATGCGTCTTAGACAACCGCCTCCTTTCATCACTACGTCACAACTGCGTCATCGCGACACCAAAATGTATAACATCACCACCACCAAAGTGTTTCATCCATATTCCTATAACTGTCGTAATCCTACTTCTGAAATGGCTTACCGATGTATCATTGCTCATGAGAGAAATGTTGAGATGGTATTTTGGTACCGATCCTTACAATATTTTACCTTAATACTTCGGTTTGGACCAACACTGTAGCATTTGGTGCTCTATGTCTGGAACTGTGGATAAAGGCCATACATTTGGCGCAACGGAAAATGTTCTTGAGATTTCGTAGTCTAGTTGTGAATGTGCTCGACTTGGTGTCATGGGCAATGTCCGACATGGACAGTTTCACTATTAAGAATATCTAAATTGATTGTGGATATATAACTTCGATTTAATAAATGTAAACGCACAGTACACATAGTACGAGAGGGAACTACATAATCTCCTCATTTCGAGGTCAATTATTTAAAAAAATGTCTTGTTTTATCGCCTAATGCCGAGCGCCAGACATAGTACCATTTTAACGTCTTTTGGTATGACGCGGCCGAGGATCGAACTACCGACCTTTCGTTCTGTATCCACTAGACCACGGAGGCGATCCCAGTATTAATTATTTCATAGGTTATAGACACTATTAGAATAGGACTTCAGCAACCCTTGCTTGTTGTAAGAGGCGACTATTGTTACGTGTCGATTCCCAAATTGAAACAATATGTTTAACCCAGAAATCTGTGCCTAAATGAATGTAGTGTGAAAACAACAACCAACCAACATATGGTGTACAATCAACAAATGTATTACAATATTCACTGGGTTTACAAATCAAAACAAATTACTGCACAGCAATTACAATGGCAGTAAACAATGGAGTGATGGTACAATATTCAACGGCAATACATACTATGATGAAAGTGGTCAGTATCTAGTACAAAAATACAGTGGTAGAGCAAAAGTCATTGAGAACAAAATAATGACCCAGCAGCGACGGTGGTCAAAGTTTCCGAGATGGGCCAAGGCTGGGAATCCAAGGTGATGAGTGATCTTCTCACAAAAGCTGGTCTTGATGTAATAAAATATGTGAGAGACAAAATGTGTGAGAGATACGAGAGAAATTTCCACACAGTGCTCCCACATCATAGAATATGCCACATGTTTCTATAACACTCTATCACAGCCCACAGTATTCCGGTAACTTACGCTGACACTAGCATCTAAATAGTAGTAACTTCCTCAAAACTGCTCACATTAAATAGTACTACATTCCTGGCAACCAATCAGTGTCCAAATACAATGCAATTAACTTCTACCGAATCTCGGAAGAAACAATGTAATTCAGTTACAATAATAATTTAACAATAACACAGTGCTTGTCGTAAGAGGCGACAGATGGGATCGGGTGGTCAGGTTCGCTGACTTGGCTGATGCATGTCATCGTATCCCAATTGTGTGGATCGTTGCCCATGACATCAATCACTGGACTATCTGGTTCGGACTCGATTATTTACAGACCGCCGTCATATAGCTGGAATATTGCTGAGTGCGGCGTTAAAACAACAAACTATTTCTGAAAACAATTCAAGGTTTGTCAATACTTGAAGGGGGACTCGGTAGGCCCAGTCGTCTAAGGCGCCAAAATTCGCTGTGCATAGTTGCGTCTCTTGGGCACGCCAGAAACCTATGAGTGTGGGTCCGAATTCCGGTTCGCCCCGATTATGTTTCTAGGTTTGTCAGCACCATACCCGTGCTCGTGGGTTTCACCAAAGTGGAAAACGTCTAAGACCTGCATCACTTAATATAAATAGAATACTGTTAAAAACGGCGTTAAACCCAACTCACTCACATTCACAATACTGGAAGGATCGTGCAATGCATCTACCAGTTTGTCTACTTAATTCGTTGTTATAAAATTAGATTGCCGTGATTTGAGGTATGATTAAATTTGTTATGAGGTAGATGTACGATGACGAAAACTCCTTCATACTTCATAAGAACTCAGTCTACGTGTATGGAATCGTGGCAATAAACCACTTATAAAGGATTCTGCCATGAATTTGGGAAATAGTCGATTCTGTTTGTTCAATCAGAGGTATCAAATCCCAATAAACCCCCCTTCTGATTGAAACAGTGGATTTTACGACCGCATCACAGGGGAAGTTAATCATTTTAGAATAGAACTTCTTTTACAGTCATTGTCGATAGGCATATTCAGATAATAATTATATGTACAATTATAGGCTACAAAATGTAAAGTTGGGTTACTACAAATTTCAAAGGATGTGTGGCAATACATATCGGGCAGAAAACACGAAAGAAATCTAAAAAAAAAAAATGTATTTTCAAGTTTGGAGGACACAAGAGAGCTAGCTATTTGGGGCTTTTCTATATACGACTGTCATATCCTTCGCGTCACAAAGAGCGATATGACATCATAATGGTGACGCGAGGTGTTGAACGAAACCTTTGCCAAGGCTTGCTTAAATTTCTTCAGGGGTTTCAGTCTCATGTTCCAGTTTACAAAAGCTGCCGTGTTACATGCTTTCAATGCCTGCGATAAGTTCGTGTGAAGTATTATGGTGTAAACAAACTACTTGAGCATATAGAGCACCATATTGTGTTTAAACTTTGTTGTCGGTGATTCCATAAATTCTGATCGACAACCCACTCAAAACATTGAACCCATGCAACTTCACTCAATATATTTACTGACACCAAAGCGTCGCGTTATATTAAGTCATGGTAGAATGGTTCGGTTCTAGATTCAATTTAGCGCTGTTAAATCTACAGTAACCTTGCTAGCTCTACATTGAAAACACAGGTCCTAGTTTAAATCTTTACTGTACACAGAATATTACTTGAATGAAGGATGACCATAATGTTTCACAATTGTCTTGTCATCATGTCATCATGTTATCATGTCATCTTGCCATAATTAAACACTGCAATGTACGTGTAGTGGGCTGATGGCGTTTATACTGAAATGACCCATTACACATTTTTATCATCCAAAATTGGCTCCCACAGCAGATATTGCCTGGGTTTGATCAAGCGATATTTACATTATAGATATCGCTGAAATGAAATTGCATCACAATGCTTTGCAGACTATTGTGACGTCATTAGTTACCATGACGTCATAATCAAATCACATCATTGATGGCTCTGCTACTGAAGCTGTTAGCAGTACTTTCTACACTGCTTATTACTGTCTACAAACTGAAAGAGTTGGAAGAATGATGATCTATGATATATAGAATCCCCCCCTTGTGTCTTTTGATATCAAATAAATCAACACTCGTCGATAAAAAATTTTAAACTTCTTGGCAAGCCTCGGAGTTTTGAACTTTTATCGACTCGTGTAGATATATTTGATATCAAAAGACACTTGGGTGAGATTCTCCATATATCATTTGGCTGACAGCACTTAGAACATTTTAGTGTCCTTAATCTAAGGAGAAGAAAATAGTTCTCTTATCGATCATGAAATGAAGTATTTTAGCGATTGTCAATATGACCTTATAAATACGAATTACCTCCCTTGGACTTAGTGTTTACGTCTTCGTGTATGCTAGTGATGAAATTGTGGTGCAAGCGGCATGGATCTTCAGAAGATCTCTCTCGAATAATAACTCGTCAGCAATGAACAACCACAGATTCTCACTTTACTGTAGACTGCACTGTTGACACAACATATACCGTGTAGGTTTTCGCTGAAGGAGTCTGAACTCGCAATCAGCTAGCATCGGTAACTCCCAGCGCAGTTAATCGCCGAAGATGTCGAAGAAGGATTTTGTCATCAACGAATATGTCAAGGAGGTAAGTATATCGACAAACTAATACTGTAACAATAATGTGTATGTTCATGTCATTGTCACATGAAACAGATTTCGCGGAATTATTGCACACTCGAATTGTTTTTCTTGAAACGCATAAAGTTCAGTTTTCAAAACTGGAAAATAACACTATCACCCAAGCTTTCACAGGATCTGGACATAATTTTGCGAATTATTGTATAATATTAAACCTCTCTTGGGTAGAAATGTATTTCCATGCCGAGCATACAGTACAAACCAGAATAGTCATATATGATACCTAAAAGCATTGAAATTTGGATAAATCCATCGATAGATAGATAGATACCTGATTTATCATGATCGACATTTTTTGAAAATCTAACTAAAAATAAAATTAATATAATTAAATTATGTTTTTTTATGAAGGTTCTGCAAGACGAAATGTCAAGAAGTGATGCATTTTTGACTGAAGATGATTTAAAGGCTCTCTTGGTTGAGGATGAAGATGATGAATATAGAGCAAGGGAGACAATTATTGGCTATCCCACCTACCCACTGTACCGTGAGCTGGGCAACATGTTGACAATATGGATGCAGGAAAAGTAGAGAAATGTTTCTGATTTTGCCCCCAACTTATTAAACACATAATTGTGTAATCCCAAATATAACATTTGTTACATTTGACCAATAGTTTAGGCATTACTTAGAAGTTGGCAGATGACAAAGTTGACACAATTTATGGATAACAACATCTTTAATTACTGTAAGGGCGAGGTTTCGCTTGACAACCAAGTAAGGATCTATACCGAAACCTCGCCTTTACAGTAATTAAAGAAGTTGTTATCCTTAAATTGTGTCCACTTTGAACATTTGACCACTTTCTTAAAGGCATTGTGTATTCATAGCTTTTGGCCATTTGAGCCGTACCAAGTTACATGTATCAGAGTATATGTGATCTAGACTACCAGTTGTCGGACTTCCATTTTTGCGGAAGTCACAGTGGTTAAGTGGGTGAGAGCGCTGACTTTATGTGCTGGTGATTAGGTGCCTGACTCCGAGAGAGTGGGTTCAAATCCCAGATGGGACTCATCCTGAAAAAGTACTAGAATTTGTACTTTACTAAGAATGTGTCATCTCAAATATAATATTTGTTATAAAATATATATTGTCGAAAGACATATGTGATACCATGTGTTTTATGAGAAAACGCTAATGGTGTACAATGTTAATGGGCTTCAAGTGTGTGTGGTTTCACTATATCTCCTATTAGTCATAATCTGAACAACTTTGAACTTTCGATTGCTTTATGCTCTATATTTACAGAACATAGGTCTATGGAAACTGGCAATTTCTACTTGGTACAATTGATAGACAGTTGTGAATGAATTGCTAGTCAAACATGAAACATCAGATATTTTAGAAATATCACAGATAGATTGAGTGGTTATTTGTTACAGCTTCTGTGTGCCATGGTCTGGTCAATCACCCTTAAACACAAACAGTGCTATGATATTTGACTATATTCACCTTCTTGCAGTTGATATGATACTGTAAAACGTGAAATTAATGCGAGCGTAAATTAAATGCGTAAAATGCGAGTGGTCTTTGCTCGCATTATTAAACATCGCATTTATATCAACAATAAGACATTTTGGATAGCAGAATTGATACTGCTGGGGTGAAGACAAGCGTTCTACTCACTCATGTCATCACTGATCACACCTGCAAGTCCAGACAGACACCACCCAACACGGTGTCTTTGCTCTTTGCGACTGCATCAAAGGCCAACACGAGCCAGCGCGCACGTATTGTTTTAGCTGAAGTATTCTACTCAGCGCTAATCAGCGGTGCTATTTGGTGTTTGATTGGATTAATGTAAGGTTGGATTAAGGTGAGGATTCTCCTGTAAACCTGACAGAGGACGCTTTGTTTAGATATACATCCACTGATGCTTGAGAGGAGCGGGTGTCGCATTCATATTAAGTCGCATTCATTTTTGGCTAGGGGCCATCGGTCGCATTCTTTTGGAGACGCATTAATTTTACGTTTTACAGTAGTCATGCAAGCAGGACATCAATGTCACCGAAACTTGAAATGGTGCAGCACTTTATTTTACAGATATTGTCCTGCCTTGAACCTGCCCAAATATGACTTGCTGGATGAGAAAACGTATGCAGAGTCGAGGTAGGTCTGCGGCAACAACAAATGAATAAGTTCAGTCAAGATATCATTTTACCCATCTCACAAGAGATGTTTCTACGGCAATTGCAGTCAGAAACCATAGGCTTTTCAGGAATCGAATTAATGTTTTCAGACTTGTTGTTGGAAGCTTTTGTCATCACATACTCTTCTGAAAGATGTACAAGCCTTCACAATCCTGGTCAAGCGATTGGCGTATGAGACTGAGTACATGGAACAGTGTATTGTCTGATAATGGCCCCGGTACATTATAGTGTTTATTCTATACACCGACAGTCTTTAATATTCAGATAAATTCCAGCCACACAGTTGGACTGGCAAGTCTAATATATTGCCACCCGGGTTAAAAAGATTTCAGTCCAGATTTCTTTTACACTGGACTGAACAATATAGGACAAAAAAACTACTCGTGAGAACAATTGAGATCATTCATTGTTGATCTATATGTGGATTAATTTTTATTAACAAAATCTACAAAAAGGTGAGGTGAAATGGGGTTTAATGTTGTGTCCAAGATTATTACACTTATATAGCAACGTGGATGCTTGTTTCTGTGTGTGTGTGTCTGTTTGTCTGTGTGTGTCTGTGTGTGTATCTGCTTGTACTAGTCTGGACTGATGCCGATTTATAGTGCTAGCCCTGTGAGATACCATGCCACAGTTTAACATGAATACCCCACTCAGACACAGTATACTGACTCCGAGCCGACCAATCATGTTTTAGCCCCTTAATGCCGAACGCCAGACAGGGTAACAACAAGTACCTTCTTTTAAAGTCTTTTGGTATGACATGGCCGGGTTCGAACCCGGGACCTTACACTCTTCGGGCGGATGCTCTACCACTAAACCACAGAGGCAGTCCTCTACAAATAGAGGTGACAAACGGGATCCGGTGGTCAGGCCCGCTGACTTGGTTGAAGCATGTCATCCATCCCAATTGCGTGGATCGATGCTCATGATATCAATCACTGGATTGTCCAGACTAGATTGTTTACAGCTAACTGCCTAACTGCCATTGTTAACTCTTACAACAATGAGTGACACCAGGATGTGTTTCAGGAACGCCATGATTGCCTCCATCACCCCTCTACTGGAGGGACTGAAGACACTGTGGACGCTGTGGGGGCGGGAGGAGATCAAGTACCGGGTCCGCGAGGTCCTCCTGGTCAGTAATGTTGTGTACTGGTAACTAGCTTAGAGAGGGGTAACTCCGATACTAGGGTCGGATCATCTTCCTGAGACAAGGGAATTTACTGACGAAAAATGTTAAGTTTCCAACCTTGCCAAACTAGGCTGGTATTATGGAGTTACATTTTGGCTGGACTAGCGAGTCTAGGCATAGTTCAATCAAAATCGTGTAACTAAATATGCATCCGGTTCATAAACTGCCGTGTAGATAATAGGTCTATTGCAGGATTTGCAAAGCATGTGTACCGCCAATTCAGCATCAACAGATATATTTCAAATCTTTAAATGTCTTTAATGAAGGTGCTCATGTGATCTTATGCACTTTGCGAAGTAAGACTCATTTTATCACAATATAGATTTTGATTATCAATCAAATATTCTTGACTGGGCGCCACTATTTTGTTTGAAGCAAATGCAAGTGATATGAGAGGTGGAATCTGATTGGTCAGTAGGAGGGACATAGAAGGGACATAACTTGTAGTAGCCACAGGTGGTACAACGTTTGAGTTCAGAAATTCCAGAAATTTTACAGTGAGTTAACTCCCTTGCCTCAGGAAGATGGGGTTGGGTGGGTCCTGATTAGGACCAAGTTACCCACAGGACTACCCGGACCGTGGTTAGTCACGTGATATATTGTTTAATGACAAAAAGACATTTTATACTAAATGGAATGGGTGGCAAGGCTTGGTAACGTGATTGCCATCATATCCCAATTTTGTGTATTGATGCTCATGATTGTCTGGTCACATGATTGTCTGGTCCAGACTCGATTATTTACAGACCGCTGTTATGTAGGTGCAATATGGCTGATTGCAGTGTTAAACAAGAAACAAACCATAGCCGTGTGAGCTACAGTGCCCTGGCACTATATTGGGTATTTTGGTAGTGGCTTATGTTATGATGTTGCAATCCCCTGTGCTGCAGTTGTTGGGGAAGCGTGGGATGTTGGACCTTTTCGGAATCAGGAAGACGGTGGGAACAAAGGAAATATGGCCGGTGTCCAAACAGACGTTACTCAAATCTTTCAAGGAAAAACACTCGTAAGCTAAATTTGTGCTCCTCCACTGAGAGGGGTTTCACGTGTGTCACAGATCAAACACAATTACATTATGGGATTGTTTGTTTCCACCAACCTCCATGGGGATTTGACCCGTGAAGATACGGGGTAGAATAGGTCTTCAGCAACCCATGCTTGCCTTAAAGGGCGACTATGCTTGTCTTAAAGGCGACTAACTGGATCGGGTGGTCAGGCTCGCTGACTTGGTTGGTGCATGTCATCGATCCCAATTGCGTGGATCGATGCTCATGATATCAATCACTGGATTGTCTGGTCCAGACTTGATTATTTACAGACCGCCGCCGTATAGCTGGAATATTGCTGAGTGTGGTGTTAAACAACAAACAAACCAACAAACCAACAAACCAACCATGGGGATTCTGGGTTACAACTGTTGCCCAGCAACCTCATGCGACTTGATTGAATACACCCCGATGGCATGGTTCATTACTCATTAATATAAATCACTGGCTGGTCTGGTCCAGACTTGATTATTCACAGGCTGCCATCATATAGCTGGAATAGTGCGGAGTGCACCTTCCACCCAACCCACTCGGAAAACTTTATTTGACATCTCAGGTTTTATTATCTTCTTTGACAGGACACTCAGAACCTGATAGCATCTTGGGCATTCAGACTGGGAAGCAGCAGATTGTCAGAAACCTATCTGCTTTCCCAGATCATGTCAAGAGAGCCAACATCCCTGCATAAGATGTCGCAAGAGGCGACTAATGGGATCGGGGGGTCAGGCTCGCTGACTTGGTTGTTGTATGTCATTGATCCCAATTGCGTGGATCGATGCTCATGATATGAATCACTGGGCTGTCTGGTCCAGACTCGATTATTTACAGACCGCCGTCATATAGCTGTTATATTGCTGAGTGCTGCGTTAAACAACAAACAAACAAACAACACTTAGATGTCTGCACATTGTCACCAGACATTTGTGTCCCTCTGATGTCGGTTTCATTAAAGTATGTGCATGTTGATATGGAGACAAAGACAATAATGATACTGTTTGTGTCTGTCAGGCCCAACTCGGAGCTGTCGGTGGGAGCGAGAGCGCTGGCCAAACATTTCCACCGAGACAACAGCATCTCCTGGTGGGGCACCAGTACTGGGAGTGAGTATACAGTGAGACAGAGTCTGACACATCTACAGTTGACAGACATGAATAGCTAGCAGATGTCTGTTGACAGAGATGAATAGCTGATAGAAGACTGCAGTTGACAGACATGAATAGCTGGCAGAAATCTACTGTTGACAGATGTGAATAGCCGGTAGAAGTCAACAACTGACAGACATGAATAGCTGGCAGAGGTCTACAGTTGGCAGACAGAATAGCTGGCAGAAATCTACTGTTGACAGACATGAATAGCTGGCAGAAATCTACAGTTGACAGACATGAATATCTGGCAGACCTCTACAGTTGACAGACGTGAATAGCCGGTAAAAGTCAACAACTGACAGACATGAATAGCTGGCAGAGGTCTACAGTTGGCAGACATGAATAGCTGGCAGAAATCTACTGTTGACAGACATGAATAGCTGGCAGAAATCTACAGTTGACAGATATGAATAGCTGGCAGAAGTCTACAGTTGACACATATGGATAGCTGGCAGAAGTCTACAGTTGACACATATGAATAGCTGGCAGAAATCTACTGTTGACAGACATGAAGAGCTTGCAGAAATCTACTGTTGACAGACATGAATAGCTGGCAGAAATCTACAGTTGACAGACATGAATAGCTGGCAGAAATCTACAGTTGACAGACATGAATAGCTGGCAGAAGTCTACAGTTGACAGACATGAATAGCTGGCAGAAGTCTACAGTTGACACATATGAATAGCTGGCAGAAATCTACTGTTGACAGACATGAAGAGCTTGCAGAAATCTACTGTTGACAGACATGTACAGCTGGCAGAGGTCTACAGTTGGCAGACATGAATAGCTGGCAGAAGTCTACAGTTGACACATATGAATAGCTGGCAGAAGTCTACAGTTGACACATATGAATAGCTGGCAGAAATCTACTGTTGACAGACATGAAGAGCTTGCAGAAATCTACTGTTGACAGACATGAAGAGGTTGCAGAAATCTACTGTTGACAGACATGAAAAGCTGGCAGAAGTCTACAGTTGACACATATGAATAGCTGGCAGAAGTCTACAGTTGACACATATGAATAGCTGGCAGAAATCTACTGTTGACGTACATGAAGAGCTTGCAGAAATCTACTGTTGACAGACATGAAGAGGTTGCAGAAATCTACTGTTGACAGACATGAATAGCTGGCAGAAGTCTACAGTTGACACATATGAATAGCTGGCAGAAGTCTACAGTTGACACATATGAATAGCTGGCAGAAATCTACTGTTGACGTACATGAAGAGCTTGCAGAAATCTACTGTTGACAGACATGAAGAGGTTGCAGAAATCTACTGTTGACAGACATGAAGAGCTTGCAGAAATCTACTGTTCACAGACATGAATAGCTGGCAGAAGTCTACAGTTGACAGACATGAATAGCTGGCAGAAGTCTACAGTTGACAGACCTGAATAGCTGGCAGAAGTCTACAGTTGACAGACATGAATAGCTGGCAGAATTAAGCTTACAGTTTTTAGCTCGCCATCTGTGAGTCTTTATCTTTACTCATTTTCTTGAGTTGTGCTTCATAACATATGATGGTCTTGGTGTGTGTTTCAGCTGAGAAGGACAAGAACGAGCACGCCCTGATGACTCTCAACAAGATCATGACCAACGCAACCTGGATCAACATCCACTGGCTGCCTGTGAGTCCCGTCTTCCACTCACTGCATTGTTACTTAATTCATCTTCAGGTTCGATTCCCGACATCGATCCAATATGTGAAGCCCATTTCTGGTGTCCCCCGCCGTGATGTTGCTGGAATATTGCTAAAAGCGGCATAAAACCATACTCACTCACTCACTCACTCACTCACTCACTCAGTATTTACAGACCCCCATCATATAGCTGGAATATTGCCCGGTTTAGACGTTAAACAAAAAAATAAACAAAATTTAGTACTGAATTTACTTTTCTAACTGTATAGAAAGGACTTCAGATCACCGGAGTTTTTGTGATGGACATCTTTTAATGAATGAACCCCATGCATGGTGAATTTGTAATGATAACCATGTTTGGTTTAACAGTAAGTGCCAAATTTGGCTTCTGACTTCTGACACCTTGGGCACCAATTACTTTTATTTTGGTATCTGTGTAGCACTGACCAGCTGCAGTCGGGTAGAGTAGTGGTTAAAGCATTCGCTCATCACGCTGAAGACCCACATGGGTACAATGTGTGAAGCTCATGCTGGATATTGCTAGAATATTGTTAAGAGTGGGTAAAACCATACTCATTCACACAACCTGTCCAGCTGCACCAATGTCAGTCCCCATGTGAATACATGTTAGAGTAGGGGGCACGGGTGGCTCAGTCGTCTAAGGCGTCGCGATTCCCTGTGCAGAGTTGCGTCCCTTGGGCACTACAGAAACCTATGATTGTGGGTTCGAATCCCGGTTCGCCCCGATTATGTTTCTAGGTTTGTCAGCACCATACCCGTGCTCGTGGGTTTCACCGAAGTGGTAAACGTCTGAGACCTGCATCACCTCGGGCTTTCCTCCCACATTAAGCTGACACGCCGCGATATAACTGGAATAATGTTAAAAGCAGCGTTAAACCCAACTCACTCACTCACTCACATGTTAGAGTATGTCCCCAGCAACCTATGCTTGTCCTTGCTAGTACATGACCTGTTTGGCCTGACACCGTGACTTGGTTCAATCCAGTCATCATACTCCAAGAGCAGAGGCTGCTCATAATATCAAACACTGGTTTGTGTGAATATTACTGAGCGTGATGTTACCAATGATGTAACTGACCTACCATTTTCCCCGGGGCAAGGTAGTTAACTGACTCTAAAAGTTCAGTTTTCACCTTGCCGAACAAGGCTGGAATTTCTGGGCTTGATCATAGTGCCACCAGTGGCTATTACGAGTTATGTCCCTGCTATGTCCCTCCTACTGACCAATCAGATTCCACCTCTCATATCACTTGCAGTTGCTTCAAACAAAATGGCAGCGCCCAGTCAAGACGATTTGTTCGATTATCAAGATCTGTATTGCAATATAACAGATCTTACCCCTCGAAGTGCATGTAATCACGTGAGCCCCTTGATTAAAACATGTAAACATTTGGAAGATATCTGTCAACGCCCAGTCGACAGTACACATGATTTGCAAATCCTGCAGTTGACCCAAACCTGGACGTTGAAATCCAAACTGTTTACGAACTAGATGTCGATTCGATTTCGTTACGCGATTTGATTGGACTGTGCATAGTCTTGTTAGTCCAGCCAAAACATAACTCCATAATTCCAGCCTAGTTCAGCAAGTTGGAAACTGGATGTTTTTAGTCAGTTAACTCCCTTGCCTTGGGAGGATGCTGACCTACAAGATCTACAGTGTCTTGATGGTTGTCATGGTGAATAGCTTCATGTGCTGCTGTTGATTCACACACTGCCCTTCTTTTTTCAGCATGACGTCATCATAGTGGAAATGAGACAAGAGAATGGTAAGTTGTGACACCAGGGATAAACCTCAAACTGTGAGACAGATACAAAAGTGGAAATGGTTTTACTGACACACTAATTTAATCAACCTTTCTTTGATTATTTTGTTCTAAAAATTGGAGATTGGACACTAATTATTTTTTTACTGGGTCCTCCTCTTATTACCATTGTTGTTGTTGTTGTTGTTATCATCATCATCTTCGTCAAAATTGTCATCATCATCATTAACACAAAGCCTGTGTTCTCGTGGATAGTGTGTCTGCTCTGAGTGCAGAAGTTTAAAGGTTGGGTCCCCAGCCACGTCAATCGAAACGCTTTATAATATGGTACTTGTTATTACTCAGCCTGGCGCATGGCATTGAGGGGATAAAACAATGACTGTTTACTATGAGTGGGGTATACATTTTACATTATAACTCAGTGGGCGAGGACTACTATACAACAGTCGCAGTTAGTTTTTGCGGTCAGCCATTTCTGTCCAAGATAACAAAGCCCTAGTGTTCGTAAAGCTCTGTGGAACAGTTCGACACTTTTACGGACCTTTCACCATGAATCAGACACAAAACATCACACCAGATGCACACCATGGTGCCATGTGCTTGGCTACCAAAAAAATTAACTCTCCCAAAGGAGATAACTCTTCCACAGCAATGATTCATACCACTAAATAAAAATGCAAGTGGAATAATAAGTTCAGAACCAGACTAGTACAACAGACAGACACAAAGGTGCAATAACCTTGAACGTGTAGCAGGGCGTGGAGTCATCCCACAGATGACATCCTTACCTTGTCAGCTTGATGACGGGGTTAACCTCTTTGGTCATGTGGACAAGGCCTCCGACCTCTGATCAGAAGGTCCGTGGTTCGAATCCCATCACGGGACTCGGAAATTTTATGCCCGCTACATTGGCGCCCAACGTGGGGCTGAGCACGTTCATATTAAATTTGAGCAAAATAAGCCTCTGTACCCTACTATGCGGCCCGGGACGTGCCTTCTGCTGACGGGGTTAACCTCTTTGGTCATGTGGACAAGGCGTCCGACCTCGGATCAGAAGGTCCATGGTTCGAATCCCATCACGGGACTCGGAAATTTTATGGCCGCTACATTGGCGCCCAACGTGGGGCTGAGCACGTTCATATTAAATTTGAGCAAAATAAGCCTCAGTACCCTACTATGCGGCCCGGGACGTGCCTTCTGTTGACGGGGGAGTATGTAGCAGGGCGTGGAGTCATCCCACAGATGACATCCTTACCTTGTCAGCTTGATGACGGGGTTAACCTCTTTGGTCATGTGGACAAGGCGTCCGACCTCTGATCAGAAGGTTCGTGGTTCGAATCCCATCACGGGACTCGGAAATTTTATGGCCGCTACAAACGCATCACTGAACTCAGTTTCACCATATAACCTATAATCATTGTTATTGTTATTGTTATTGTTATTGTTGTTGTCGTCTGTGTCAACCTATGTTGCAATACATATGTGCAATGGCTTTTGAGAGTGTTGTATGTGATGTTTCAGGTTATGGAGCCAGATGGCTGGCTGATGGCTCAATGTTCCGGGGATTCCTGGAGCCGCAGATGGTGGACGGACATGAAGTCGGATGGAGACACTGAGATGCAGCATTGATGTACACTGCTCACTGTTTGCTAGGGATAGTGATAAAACCTTGATCAGCAGCACATTGGGATTTGCGATTTACACTAACGTGACTTTCTAGGTTATTCATTAGTTTACAAATATAAGAATGAATTTACAAAGAAAAAAATAATATATTATTTACATGTTTCTTAAGATCATACTGTTCAGAGGTACCTCTACCTCTGGATAGTATGATCCACCTCCAGAGAGTATGATCTTCTGGACAGTATGATCTACCTCTGGAAAGTATGATCTGCTTCTGGATAGTATGATCTGCTTCTGGATAGTATGATCCACCTCTTGATAGTATGATCCACCCCTAGAGGGTATGATCTTCTGGACAGTATGACCTTTCTCTGAATAGTATGATCTGCTTTTGGACAGTATGATCTGCCTCTAGATAGTATGATCCACCTCTAGATAGTATGATCTATGTCTCGAGTATAATGGTGACACAAGACACTGGGGACTAAGTAGTCAAAGACACCACAACTTATTAGTTATTCCTCTTGCGAGTGTAGCAGAAATCCAATTCTGAAATGTGTAAATGAATATGTTTTGATGAACCAATACGGATAGTATGGTACTATACTACTGGCTTGGGAATTGCCATGTGCTGCAATGAAGTTGACTAAAAGGTCACTTACAGTTTGTTCATCAACAGAACAGCGTCATAATATGACGTGAAAAAGATTGTAACAGTGACATATTATAAGTTTTAAATGGTACTTATTTATCTTGCTATTGTGACCACTAAACTGAACCTAATCAACCCTAATTTGCTCCCCTAAATTACCATGGGCACAGTCTCACCTTGTTAATAGGGACTTGGTCTTCAGTGACCAATGCTTATTGTTAAAGGCAGCTAATGGGATCAGGTGGTCATGATCAGGCTCGCCGATTTTGTGGATGCATTTCATCTTATCCCAACAGCGTAGTCTGACCAACACCAGAATAAAGCAGACAGTTGTGTGGGGAACTCTAGAATCCATGTTAATGAGGTTTCTCTGTGCATTGTGAACTGTTGTAGTTAAAGAGAGAGTACTTTTGAGAGAAGCTACTCATTGCTTTGTAATTCATATGCAATTATTTATTTGGTTTGCAAAGCACTCACTTTCAAGCCATGTTTTATTTCCAAGGTAAAGAGTGATGCAGAGAAATTTTTAGAAAATGTTTGGACTTTAAAAAGTTTGTATCCTGAAACACTTTGAAAAAACATAGTGGATTTGTACTCTCGATAAGTAACAAGTGACAGGAAACTTATGTCCAGGTATGACAAATGCAAATGAGGTGAATACAGGAACGGAGTTTGTCCATCCGTCCGCTTCTCAAAGGCACAAGTTTCTCAAAAATTATTTAAGTTAGAGAAATGAAATTTTACACGTTTATATTACTGGTCATGATCCTAAATGAGTTCGAAAATTGGTGTCTTACATTCGATTTTTACAGAGTTATGGCCCTTGTTCCGTGCTTTTCAACCAAGTCCATATTGTCTGACATGGGGACAAGGTTTTTCAGAAACTACTGAAGTGTCATGAATGAAAGTTTGCATGCTTATCTACAAGATACTTGTTAAGACTGAGTTCGAAAATTGGTGCCCTAAAATATTTTTTCCACCTTTTGTGGTTATTAATTTCACATTTAATATTTTTCTGATGACACAAAGCAACCCTAGGGCCTATCTCTTCTTAAGCCTTTATAGGACTCTTTTTTACAGCTTATATTCACTACTATATTGACCAACAAAAATCTTATGTGCCCCATGGCGAGGGATAGTTGTAATGCTGTTTTCTTGTTACAATGTGCCATGCCTTCAGGCCTCACTACCACAATGTGTTCGACATACCAGTTTCTTTGTTTTCTGTCAGTTTGCTGAAAAATATTTCCCAAATTCCACTATGCGGTTTCATAGTGTGTCAGTACATATATTATATATTTCAACAGTAGCTATTCTCAACAACTATACAGTGGTCTAGATAAATTTGTTTTAGTCATGCAAAATAAATATACAGTGGAAACTCATTTTAAAGTTGAATAAAAAAAATATTTCTTATATCTTGTATCAATTCTTTTTTGTATAAATACATGAAATCCATATCTAGACAATGGTTCTAGATAGCTCAGTGGCCCATAACGATGTTGTAGTTCAGTGTCCTTGCATCAAATTGTAGCTCACTGTCCTGGAGTGGTGTTGTAGCTCTGTGGCCTGGAGTAGTGTTGTAGCTCAGTGGCCTGGAGTGATGTTGTAGCTCAGTGGCCTTGAGTGGTTTTGTAGCTCAGTGGCTGGAGTGATGTTGTAGCTCAGTGGCCTGGAGTGATGTTGTAGCTCAGTTGCCTGGAGTGGTGTTGTGGCTCTGTGGCCTGGAGTAGTGTTGTAGCTCACTGTCCTTGAGTGGTGTTGTGGCTTTGTGGCCTGGAGTAGTATTGTAGCTCACTTTCCTGGAGTGATGTTGGGGCTCTGTGGCCTGGAGTAGTGTTGTAGCTCAGTGGCCTGGAGTGGTGTTGTGGCTCTGTGGCCTGGAGTAGTGTTGTAGCTCAGTGGCCTGGAGTGGTTTTGTAGCTCAGTGGCCTGGAGTGATGTTGTAGCTCAGTGGCCTGGAGTGATGCTGTAGCTCAGTGGCCTGGAGTGGTTTTGTAGCTCAGTGACCTGGAATGATGCTGTAGCTCAGTGGCCTGGAGTGGTGATGTAGCTCAGTGGCCTGGAGTGGTTTTGTAGCTCAGTGACCTGGAGTGATGTTGTAGCTCAGTGGCCTGGAGTGATGCTGTAGCTCAGTGGCCTGGAGTGGTTTTGTAGCTCAGTGACCTGGAATGATGTTGTAGCTCAGTGGCCTGGAGTGGTGATGTAGCTCAGTGGCCTGGAGTGGTTTTGTAGCTCAGTAGCCTGGGGTGACGATGTAGCTCAGTGACCTGGAATGATGCTGTAGCTCTGTGGCCTGGAGTGGTTTTGTAGCTCAGTGGCCTGGAGTGGTTTTGTAGCTCAGTGGCCTGGAGTGGTTTTGTAGCTCAGTGACCTGGAATGATGCTGTAGCTCAGTGACCTGGAATGATGCTGTAGCTCAGTGGCCTGGAGTAATGCAGTAGCTCAGTCGACTGGAGTGGTGATGTAGCTCAGTGGCCTGGAGTGGTTTTGTAGCTCAGTAGCCTGGAGTGACATTGTAGCTCAGTGACCTGGAATGATGCTGTAGCTCTGTGGCCTGGAGTAGTGTTGTAGCTCAGTGGCCTGGAGTGGTTTTGTAGCACAGTGGCCTGGAGTGATGCTGTAGCTCAGTGGCCTGGAGTGGTTTTGTAGCTCAGTGACCTGGAGTGGTGATGTAGCTCTGTGACCTGAGGTGGTGATGTTGCTCAGTGACATGGAGTGGTGTTGCAGCTCACTGGCCTAGAGTAGTGATATAGCTTAGTGACCTGGAATGATGCTGTAGCTCAGTGGCCTAGAGTGGTGTTGTAGCTCAGTGGCCTAGAGTGATGTTGTAGCTCAGTGGCCTAGAGTGGTGTTGTAGCTCAGTGGCCTAAGAGCGGTGATGTAGCTCAGTGGCCTAGAGTGGTGTTGTAGCTCAGTGGCCTAGAGTGGTGTTGTAGCTCAGTGGCCTAGAGTGATGTTGTAGCTCAGTGGCCTAGAGTGGTGTTGTAGCTCAGTGGCCTAAGAGTGGTGATGTAGCTCAGTGGCCTAGAGTGATGTTGTAGCTCAGTGGCCTAGAGTGGTGATGTAGCTCAGTGGCCTGGAGTGGTGTAGCTCAGTGGCCTAGAATGGTGTTGTAGCTCAGTGGCCTAGAGCGGTGTTGTAGCTCAGTGGCCTAGAGCGGTGTTGTAGCTCAGTGGCCTAGAGCGGTGTTGTAGCTCAGCGGCCTAGAGAGGTTTTGTAGCTCAGTGACCTGGAATGTTGCTGTAGCTCAGCGGCCTAGAGAGGTTTTGTAGCTCAGTGACCTGGAATGTTGCTGTAGCTCAGTGGCCTGGAGTGGTGATGTAGCTCAGTGGACTTGATTGGTGATGTAGCTCAGTGACCTGGAGTGATGTAACAGTGGCCTGGAGTGATGCTGTAGCTCTGTTGCCTGGAGTGATGTTGTAGCTCAGTCGCCTGGAGTGGTGTTGTAGCTCAGTGGCCTGGAGTGGTTTTGTAGCTCAGTGGACTTGATTGGTGATGTAGCTAGGTGGCCTGGAGTGATGTAACAGTGGCCCTGGAGTGATGCTGTAGCTCTGTGGCCTGGAGTGATGTAGCTCAGTCGCCTGGAGTGATGCAGTAGCTCAGTCGACTGGAGTGGTGTTGTAGCTCAGTGGCCTGGAGTGGTTTTGTAGCTCAGTGACCTGGAAGGATGCTGTAGCTCAGTGGCCTGGAATGATGTAACGGTGGCCTGGAGTGGTGATGTAGCTCAGTGACCTGGAGTGACGTTGTAGCGTTGTAGACGTTGTGATGCTGTAGCTCTGGCCTGGAGTGATGTAGCTCAGTAGCCTGGAGTGATGTAGCTCAGTCGCCTGGAGTGATGTAGCTCAGTCGACTGTAGTCGTGTTGTAGCTCTGTGGCCTTGAGTGATGTAACAGTGGCCTGGAGTGATGTAGCTCAAAGACCTGGAGTGATGTAGCTCAGTGGCCTGGAGTGATGCTGTAGCTCAGTCGACTGGAGTAGTGTTGTAGCTCAGTGACCTGGAATGATGATGTAGCTCAGTGACCTGGATTGATGCTGAAGCTATCTTGATCCGCATTTTGGCATGACAATCTCTTTCAGTGGTGTATAACAAACCTCATTCACTTTTTCAACGTGACGCCTGCGTTTCACTTCGCTGTGTGCTGGAACCCCGTCCACTGTTTCCGCTCGGTTTTTGTTGGTGACGAGTATTTCAAAGCAGAGCGGAACAACCACGACATCCAGACTGTTGTCCCAAAGCGAAAGCTCTAGACATCGCTTTGGGCGGGTAGTCAATGCCTAACAACAGGGAGTCAACAGTGTAGAATAAAGAGTATATTTGCTTGACTAATGATTTTACTTGAAATGAGCGTGGACGACTGTAGACGGTCGTCTGGTTTTACCGAGCAAATCTATTTCTGTGTGGTCTTTAGACTGCGCAAAGCTGTGATGACAACATGCACGGGGCTTCTTACATAGACTCTACGTTGTGTGAGGTCTGGTGAATCCGTGTCACATAACAATGATTAAAAGGGATATTGATGCCATCGAAAATTCCTTTTATTGCTTCTTTTCACCAATCTAAGGCGCCATAACACGATGTGCACAGTAAGCCCCTTAGCCGTGCCTATATTCGCTGATCCAGTGTTCGAATCCTAGATTTGCGATCATGATCCATTAGCACCTGACTCACAAACGTGGGTTTCCGTAAAGTGGAAATCGTCTACGAGCGTGGCAGTCCTTATGCAATTAGCTGACATGTCGGGATATAACTCAATCACTTTGTGTCAAAAGCAGTGTGGTGGTAGCAAATCCCAAAGCTGACCGCCAAGCATGGTTAATCCTGGACACTAAAGACTGCGAACGTTTCAAATCGGTTGAAGTTGTAATTCAGACAGAATCAACAGCTACCCTTCAATGTTGGGAATGATGGTAGAAGGTGGGTGAAGGGCATGAACATGTCTTAGAGCCAAACTATTATGATTTGTGTCCGAACTTGTCACCTCACATGCAGTTC